TTCAACAAAAATAATATTAAATTCGTCATCTCCGTCAAAAACTGCGTCCATTGATATATAAATCAAGATATTTCAGTTCAAAAAATTTTTTCATCAAAAATATATAAATGACATGTCTATAGATTCAATTTTTGATGAGCATTAATTTGGTATAAAATACTTTGTGATATCATTTATACTTTAAGTTCTAGAGGGGAACACAATGATTTTGTTACACCCTTTATATGCTTTTTATTTAACACAATTAGTTGTAGACTAATCAAATGCTACTTTTCAAATCTTTGAATTATTTGTTAAAACAAATACGGAATTTACAAATAAATTAAAATATAGATTTTTTATCATATCAATTTATGAAATTTTTTATGAGTAACAAGATAGTTGTGGTTAAAGTAATGGTGTTATTATCGATTGCAGCTATATTTTACAACAATGTACATTAATTATATATGATTTAGAAAAACAACAACAACACAAGTGTTGTGACGATGGTCGATCTTGACCGAAAATTAAACTATTATTATTATATTACAATTATATTTAAAAAATTAACAAAAAAAAAAAGAATCAAAAGTTTTTGATTCATTCATCAATACTATTATCTTGTTGCTCATGAAAAGTTTCATAAATTGATAAAATATGAATTTTGAAAATCTTAACAATGACTGTTGAATATCAAATGCATGTAATTGATGGTGAACATTGGCAAGATTTAATTAAATTTTCACTAGATCATTTAAATATTTTCCACTTTAAATTTGTTGTTTAGATTAAAGATGATTTACGATGTTATTTTGAATAAATTTCATCAATTTCAAACTGATTTTCAGCATAAACAACATCATTACTATATAAATTGTGAATTCTATTCAGTTCAGATTCTCATCTATACTATATCCTATTTATGGAATGAATACAAGTTCAAATCGGATAAAAAGATATGGTATTACATTAATGAACAATTCAAAAATATTTGAGAATATTATAGATAAAAATGTAAAATCATTAGCATTATTTAAAGAATTGATTTTCTTTGAAGAACTTAATTTTAAATCTACAACATTCAGAAGAAAAATTCTTAGAAATAAGTAATATCTAATTTTTTAATTAATTCTCTAGATTATTATTATTATTTTGGTTCAAATTCATATCTGAGATCTAATTCTTGTTAGTTATTATATTCTGAAAGTTTGACTGATAAATAGGAATTAACATATATTGTGATAGTTTAAGGTCATATATGCTAATGTTTTTTACTTTTTTTTTTATAAATAATAACTAGATAGTATATATAATTCTTCTCACATGAAAAAAAAAGTAATATTTATTTGGTAGATTAAAACTTACCATACACGATTTATGATGAAACAAAGAAAGATAAAGAGAAAAATAAAATGAATAATTATGAAAGAGAAAGAAAGACAATAAGAGAGAAGAAAAAGAATCGATATGGCTCACTGATTTGATATACATAAACATTCGCAATTAATGTTTATAATAGTCTTTGTGTTTATTTTTCTTTCATACGACATATAAAGTCATTCTCTTTTCATCACTATTAAATAGTCAAACAGCAACATACGGTAAGATATTTTTGATTTTCTATAGCCTCCGCATGTACTCGAAATCGTTAAAAAAACTGGTGATTAATCGTGATTTCGTAGTCGAGTTTTTTTCACTATTATATCGATAATTTATGTGATTTTATGTATGTAGACTTTATTTTCACTGTTAGATTTAGGACCTATTATTAATTTAAATTAAGGAATATTTTTATTAAAAAAATTAAATGTTTACATCATTGTACACGAACACCGAAAAAAATAACGTGTCGTACAGTTTTATATAGATGAAATAGCTTTGAAAACAGTTAAATAGAATATTCATATATAAAAATCGATGTCAGTTCAGTTTTTTTTTTGAGAGAAACACTTTGCATATTTGTTTTTATTTATAAATTAAAATCTAAAAGAGAAATTTTCAATTTTATATTAATCTGATGTTGATAGAATCATATAAAACTGAGTCTTTGATGAAAAAGATTCTAATTGAAAAATTATCTATTATCACTAAGATATGTTTTGAAAATACATCAATGTCAACGAGTAGTTTAATATGATCGTTTTTTAAAATAATTCAATCTCGTTCATGTCACAGTAGTGTCATTCATACCGAATTTAAACCGTTCGTTGCCTTTTCAAATTTTATTGATTATATTAAAAAAAAACTCCGTAGAAAATCTACCTATCTCTAAATTTTATAAATCTTGGAATATTTCTCTAATTATGTCATATCTCAAATCAATTACTGAAATCAGCGTTTAAACATGATTTCTCGACGATTTTCGAAAAACTGCTTCTTGTACTATAATCGCGATAAAATCTGATTTAATGAATGATTTTTATCAGAAATAAGATTAATTAGTGGCGTAGCCAAAGGAGGGGCAAATAGGCTTGAAATTTTACATTTTCAGAATGATTTATTTATTTTTCAATTAGATAGTAACTCTATTTTTTTTTCCTTCCGTCTAAATCACACATGTACTTTTTTGCTTGTTCTTTCTGTAAATAATTAAAGAAAGAATCGCTTGTGGTATTTTAACCAGGATTGCCAGATGAAAAATTTTGAAAGTCAGAAATTCTTACTTTCACAATCAGAATTTTTTCTTCGCGAAATCAAAAAGAGTAACTTCTTGCAAATCGAGAACTATCATATTAACATATTTGCACAAAATGTTTCACTTTATTTTTTTGTTTATCGACTCATATTTTACTTTCAAAAGTATTTCATAGTAAAGAAAGACAATACAAACATTATATAGGTTAGAGTGAAAGATCGTGTACTGTATGCTAAGAATATTGATTATAGTCAGGTCAAGTAAATGCTCTCACTGTCAAACTAACTAATTAAATATATGAGCTGCCAATAGTGTACACATACCGAAATATTCGAGTTTCAAGATATTTATAGTTTGTTATGTCCTCATACTACAAAATTTCATCAACACTTAGTTTTCCTTTTTTGTCATGGTTGGATGGAGCACGACTATTTACATGAGAAAAGATAATATCACACATATTGAAAAGAAAATTCTATGGAGTCTAAGACCACATTTTGTTAATTATAAGGGCAATAAACGAAAAACTTTAATTGCTGTCAAATTGCTTTTACATATGTGTGATATTTTTTTTCTTCTTATGTATATAGTCATGTGTCATTCAACCATGACGAAAAAAGAAAACTAAATGTTGATGAAATTTCGTAGTGCGAGCACATGACAAACTGTAAATATCTCGGTCTGTATATGCTATTGGAAGCTCATGTTTTTAATTAATTACTCTGTGAATAAGAGCATTTATCTGATCCAACTATGATCAATCTCCTTAGTTCGCAGTTACATGCCCTTCTATTGTTAGTTAATACAAAAAAAAACTAGCAAAAGACACCATCTAATGTCGGATTCTTTTACGAAGCCCAAAACTCTGTTTACGAAAAATATGCGGAAACAAATCATATACATAAATTATGCAGATACTGATATATGAAAGTATTCATTAGTGGGTACAGAACTCAAAAACTATAAAAGATTAAGGAAGAAAAGGATCTATTCTATTAATGAATTATAGTCGTAATTAATTTCGCTAGTCAAGCCACCATCTAAAAACGTTTGGAATTCGGCAGTAATTAGAAAAAAAAACCGGGAAAATGTTCAAATTTCAAAACCTTTCTTGACTTTTCAGAAGGCCTGGCAGTCCTGATTTTAACTGTAAGTTTGATTGAACATGAGTTCAGTCAATGACCTATATATGGAAACATAAAGAAAAAAACCAAGATGTGACATGACGTAGGTTGTAGGAAAAATGCCCATTTGTGCTGCACAGATACATATTGGAAGAATTCTTAACATTAACTTATGCATGTTTTTTTGTGTTATTAGTACTTTCTTAGCTCAAATAAGTTTTGGCCTATCAATAAAAACCTTGTCCATTTCGACCATTCGTTTTTTTTGACATAAGAGAAGTTTGCCTATTGGTCTAAAAATCCTGATTACACCGCTGCGATTAATCACGATATGGATCTCTTTGTACTCAGCACGTATGCGTATAGTCAGATCGTGTATCTGGATTTGAACAGAAGTTCAGCCATAATCTATTCGGTAGTTTTATCGCATTTGTTGTTAGATGGAATTTTTAATTAATATCTGTAATAAACAGTTATTAAAAGAAATCCATTTAAATTTGATAACAGTTTTGATAATTACCCTGTCTCATAGGAATGTTGTAAGAGAGAAATATAATAAATCATAGTTCACTATGTGTCGAATTTTCTGAAGAAAAAAGATTGTTTATACTGATGCAGATCAGATCTAGAAGGCTCGAGTCTAGACCTATTGAGTGAAGCTGTTCTAAAAATGTGGAAGGTGGAGCTGGGATGAAATTTGCAAATTCGATCATTTCTTATTATTTTTCGTTTGTTTGAATTCTTGGTTGATTTTTGCTTTGAATAAAACATATTTTAGATAAAAATGACGTACTTCGAGGGACACTCAAAATGAACCGAATCGAACTGGTATTGAAAACATTCATTTTGATCTCTGATGACGTTAAAAAGTAGTGATAAAAATAACGAATTTTTTCTTTGATTGAGCATATTTTGCCTACAGCTTATAAAAACTGAATGAGTAGTATCTCTTTAACTACTCTTTCTCTCATTTCGTCCTATGTAATCATATTTAGTACTTTTTCTTTCTTATAAATATGTCTACGATACTGGAAGATGTCTACATTTTTGTATTCTATTTCCTTCTTGCTTAATCAATGTAAAAAATGTGATATATGACGCATCTACTCCAGAGTATCGGTTTAATGAGAAATGTTTCGCTTTTTTTTTCGATCTTCACTGACAATTGATAAAATTTTCAAGTCTTTTACTAGACGAAACTTTTTTTCGATATGGATCGACTATATTTATTCTTGTTTATTACCATTCTAATAATAAAGATGATAATCATTTCAAGAGTAGCAGAAACATCGAAAGGTAGGAAGAGAAAATAAAACTATGTAATATTAATTTTATGCTTTTCTAGTTAAAAAGTCGGCACGACCTGTCAATGCATTGATTGTTGTTGATGTTCAAAATTGTTTTATAAATGGAAATCTGTCATTATCAAATGGTCCTGCTGGCCAAGACGGTGCTGAAGTGGTTCCTATTATAAATAATTTAATTCGTACCATTCCATTTGATGTTATTGTTTACACACAGGATTGGCATCCATGGAATCATATATCATTTTTCGAAAATCTTCACTTTCGCAGACATTATTTAGCAGGTGATCAAAATCGAACAATAAAAATGTTCGATAAAGTAACATATCTCGGTCCGAAATATAAAACGAAGCAAGTTCTATGGCCTGTACACTGCATACAGGGAACAGAAGATGCCGCATTACATAAGGATCTCGATGTTATTTCATCGTCAAATAGAGTTGTTCATATAAGAAAAGGCATTGATCCCGATGTTGACAATTATTCAGCATTTGTTCATAATAATGGAACTAAGAATTCTGAATTACACAAGAAGTTGAAAGAACGAAATGTTAAACAAGTTTTTGTTGTTGGATTGGCTACAGATTATTGTGTAGCATCAACAGCTTTTGATGCTTTCAATTTGAATTATAGAACATACGTTGTTCAAGATGCGACTAGAGGTGTTTCCTTGCCAACGATTAGAAGTCGATTGAATGCATTACAACGATATGGAATTCATGTTATTCAGATGAAGAAACTAAAAAAATTAATCAATAAAATCAATGACAAACAGAGAAAGTTGTTGATAAATCACGAACTATGACCAACATGATAAAGATTTAATCAACTATTAACTGTTCTTCATATTTGTTTCCGAAATTGCATGAAAATCAATATTTCGACGAAATTTTCTACGCTTTTAGTTTTTTATAGATATTTGAATAATGATTAGTTTCTTCGTTTTGGTTAAA